CGCCGAGATCCGCAGCGAAATATATATTTAAATGCAAAACGGCCCGTTCAAACAGTGATCCATTATGCGCTTGGTGTGAAACGCTATCAACATTTAAAACTTCATTGTCTCTTTTGTACCAAATCCCTGTAAATCTTCCACTAGCCTTTACTCATTTTCATGTGAAAAGCCTGTTTGGGCTGAATAGACAGCAATCAGCAGCCTCTGGACTTCTCTCTCTCTCTCTGGAAAATGCAAAACGGCCCGTTCAAACAGTGATCCATTATGCGCTTGGTGTGAAACGCTATCAACATTTAAAACTTCATTGTCTCTTTTGTACCAAATCCCTGTAAATCTTCCACTAGCCTTTACTCATTTTCATGTGAAAAGCCTGTTTGGGCTGAATAGACAGCAATCAGCAGCCTCTGGACTTCTCTCTCTCTCTCTGGAATGTCAATTAAAATGCAGATTTTTTTTTCTGATCTCTTAGTGGCAAAAGACTTGAGAAAAACAGGATAGTCCTGGAAAGCAAATGAAAGGAGTTTGAACAATGAAAAAGTCCTGAAGCCGCCAGCCGGTTCCCATTAGTCCCCCAGAATTAATGTTTAATAGCTGGGATGCTCAGATCTACTTGGAGACTGACCTGTGATGCAGAGTCTTGTTATCTTTGTATGTATATGTAGATACCCCCCCACACACGTATATTTGTTTTTCATACATGGGATTATACAAATGTGTGACAGCTGATTTTAAAGCTGCACGTACCTGGATATTTATTTTTTCTGATGGAGCTACTAGGCTGTACTTGGGGCATTTGGGTTTGCTTTGAGGAGAGAAGCTCCGATTTTACTATTCTCTGCCTCAGAGAGAAAGATGCTCAAGACGTATAAGCAACGTATAGATCTGGTTAACGTACCCTGCACATCGTCCTGTCCCGGGGGAGCGATAAGCATCTTATAGACAACAGTGGCAGCAGATTAAAAAGAACACGGAGCGTTGAATTTAATTAATGCCACCGCGGAACAAGTACGACTTGTTTGTGCGTGTGCTCTAAGCAAAGTGCAGCTTGCAGGAATTTGGTCGGGCTCCCAAACCAGTCTGCGTTCCCATGCTTGTCAGTTTGGCAAAGCAATCCGGGCAGGTATGTGAGGAGGTGAAAATTGCCTCGCTGAGCGAGTGGCAGGGAGAGGCATCCATCAGGGCGGCTGACAGCTCCTCCGCGCCGCGCGCTCCGACAGGGCTCCCTTTCAAGGGGAAAAATAAACACTACGTGTGGCTCTCGCCGAGGCCGAGGCTCCGGGAGGGATTATTGTAGTCAGGAAGCCGGCGCTGGGGAGGCCCAGAAGCGTGTGGGGCTCCGATCCAAACGGCGGCACGGAGGGCCCGCCGTAATCGCCCCGCGCAGGAGGTCTCGCCAGGGACGTGTCCCCCAGCCACTGCGGCCACTCGGCTATGGAAAGAATTTGATTTTGTTGCCTTTCCATTGGACTTTTTTTTTTTTTTTTTGGGGGGGGGAGGGCAATCCTTGAGGCACAGTCGCTGTCGTGGTGGTGGAAGGTGTTTGGTTGCATGGATGGAGGCAGAGTTCTGAGTTTTGCTGCCCCTTTGCAAGACGCTTCTTTTGAGTTTTGTGTTGGCCTGAGGATGAAGAAGCCCTTCTTTCTGCTGGCAAATGTTCAGGTGCAGAAACGGTCAGAAACCTCCAGGTGAGAAGGTGCGTTGGCAAGGAGCCTTGTGCTGCAGGTCAGGACGTGGGACGGTGGTAGGAGCTACGTGCTTTAACTGGCTTCTGATGGAGCCTAAAGGTCTTCAGGAGCTGAAATGTGAATGGAATTGGTGCTGATTGCAGAACAGTCTGGAATATGTGTTAGTATGCCAGTACGATTTCTTTTTATTTTGCAAAATTATGATTACATTTTGCATTTATGCACCTAGCCTTTAATCAGGTTTCATGGGGTGATTCGTGGAAATTGAATTAACATTCTATCCAGCCTGTTAATTGGGATTTTTACCCCTTTGCAGCTGCATAAACGCAGCGCTGTGGCTGTCAGACAGGGGATCAGAGGGTGTTTGGGGGTGGCAGTGGCCAGGAGGGCTCGTGAGCTCCTTCCCCAAGCCCCCCGGTCCCGCAGACAGAGCTCACCTCGGTCCTGCAGCTGCCCAGCGCTCACTTCAAGAAGCTTCACAAATGCAGTGGTTTCGTGGTGGTTCCACTGAAGACTTAATCATGGCTGCTAACTTGTGGGCTAGAAGGGGACTGAGCATCGACCTGGTACTAGTGGAGGCAAAAAAAAACGCCTTCAACTCTCATGGCTTCACTAGAAATACCATGTGCTAATGATTTTTTCCCCCAGCTGCCTTATTTATGTCTTCTAAAATCCACCTCTACTGACTCCAGAAGTTATTTTATGGAGTATCCAGCATGACAGATAAAAACCTCAGCAGCATCGCTGCCCTTAGCACAGTGAACCTGGTTTGTGTGCAGCAGGTCTTAGCCAGAGCTTGAGAAAATTCGAGTGCTCTTTTTAAGGGTTGGCTTTGTGAAGGGAGAGAATATTTGTCCGTGTTTCTGAGTGCCACCTGTGGAGGTGCCACAGGGCTCTGCACATTCCCGTGGCTGGGATTTTTGAGCGATTTGCCTTTATGCCTACATTTCACCCTTCCCCTTCTTAAGGCTGAGGGCAAGAAGGAAGAAGAGGTTTTATGGAAGGGAGAAGGATTCTGGGGAGATCTCCTGTGAAACAGCAACAAACTCAATAGACATGTTAATTGCTTGCAATGCAGTTTAATTAAGAAGCACCTCTGCAAAGGCTAACTGGACTCAGACATTCAGATGGGCACTGAGCTAAGGTGGAAGGAGGAAAGCGTATGGAAGATGTGGAATTCCTCAAGGAATATAAAGTTCTCCTGGTTATTTAAGCCTAGGGAATATTTTTCAATTGTTTTCCTTGTAGAAAAGTATTGAATTACTGAAAATTCAGCTGGCTGCAGGACTGCCTAGGAAAAAGCACTGAAAAACAAGGCAAACTTACATAAACCTTCAAACAATAACAAGAAATAATTTGTATAATTGTGGTAATTTTGTAGCATTAAAGGTTATGTGCCTGCACATGCGCCTGCTTTTATTTTCTTAAAGCTGTATATTTTTCTGTCATTAAAATAGCTCCCTAAATATGTGCTGAGAAGTGATTTTGTGAAAACAAGGAGGACTTGGTTACGCCTCAGGTGATGATGGAAACTGCTAACAGAAAATGAAAAGTCACTCACTTTTCACATATTCCTGAAGCTGGAAAACCACTTTTCCCACCCTCCTCCTCCCCCTGTCAGCGCTGTCCGGGGCTTTGGGCAGTTTTGGGGCAGTTTTGTGCAGTTTTGGAGCAGTTTTGGGGCAGTTTTGGGCAGCTGTGTTTGGGATGGTGTCACTGACCCTGCTCCGTGTCCCTCTCGCCCGCAGCAGCAGAGGACGTTCCCGGCGAGGACGCGTTCCCGAGGCCGAAGGCGCCGCTTTCTGCCCATGCTTCTGTAGAGGTGCTCCGATGGGATTAACGTCCGCATGGAGATATGGAAATGGACCAGGAATTTACACTAAAAAGATGGTCAGCTGGGATTCGGGTTGCCTTATATGCCTGGTGGTGGTCACCATGGCTGGACTTTCCCTGGCTCGACCTTCGTTTAATTTAGTCGTTGAAGACGCCACGTTGGAACCTGAAGGTAAATCATTCTGCAGTGCTTAATTATGGAATATAAGTGAATTTTAAATGCTTGAATAGTTGAAATAGAATTCAACGTCTTTATGTGCTTTCGTAAATATAAGGCAAGTAACAGCCTAGCCCTCAATAATTCCATGGGTTTTCACTCTTCCTGTTACATATGGACTCTGTTCAATATTTAACCACATGGAAGCAAGTGGTGTCGGTGTTTTTTCTGAGATTCTTATTACTTTATATAATCTCAGGGTATGCCTAAAAGTTGTCAGGAATGGGTCTGTAAGAAAAGCAGGGTATCATCCTTGCATCCTGGGTACGTCCTGGCACCTCCAGAAATGACAGTGTTGGTCTAGCTCCATGTTTAAGTTAAGAGGGAAAGAAAGATCCCGATAATTTCTCCCGGGACATCCTGGTTGTTTAACTTTGCTGCAAGCAGGAAAACAAGTGTCTCCGCGTTATTGCTGTTGGTAGTTGGTTACTATAAATGTCCCTGCTGTTGCTCGTGTCCCCAAGCCATCGGTGCACGCCGTGGATTGCCGGCTGTTTGCATTGGAAGAGCTTCCATAGGGGTTTGTTACTGGGAAGGGAAAGACTCACTGAAACATTCATATTGAAAGAGATGTTTTGACGAAACCTCCCACTTTGAGCTTGTCTCTGGTGGTGTTTTTATGGATAGATCTTTCACCCAAACTTTCCAAACTGCTTTCCTTCCGTAAAGGGTTAAGCAAAGGCTGCTGTTTTATTGGCACGAGTTGGCCGTGTTATCAGAAGGATGTTACTGTTTTTGGAGGACCCTTCCTGCTCCCTTGCAGGGAAAGGGAGCCTTCCTCCATAGGGCGCTTGTTGGCTCCTCAGAGAGCACTTGCATTTCTAGTAACTACCCAAACGATACAATTAACAGTAATTAATAGCCCACAGATCATTTCTTTAGCCAGCAAGCTTTCTGGAGACAATATGGTCTTTGCCCATTTTACTATTCACGTGCAGGATTACAGCTTTGTTTCTATATAATAAATTTTCAGGCAAAACATTTCTACCCATTGCCTCTAACAATAGATGCCACCAGCTCGCACATTTTTGGAATCCTTCCCAAGTCCATTTTTATTGATGGCAGAGCTTGAATTT